CAGAGCCACCCCAGACGGCTGAGTTAGCTGTGACAGAGAGTGATGCCCACTTCTCCTCCTTCTATCTCTGCCATCCTTTTCTTTCTTTATCATTTTTTAAACCCCGCTTTTTCCTCTTCTTCTGCTCCCAACACGGCACCGCTGTAAAACGACATATCACCCCCCTCTCCAGATGATGATTCATCGATCTCAATATCGCATCAGACGACTTGATGGGCATAGTAAAAAGAAATTAAATCTTAATTAAATTTTCATCTTTGACAAATTTGTCTCTGCGGAGCTGCCATATGCTCCTCTGGGTTCGGGGGGAAAACACTGAGGAGAAGGAGACTTTTGGATCGGGAATTGACTGAGTTTGAAAATTACACAGCACAAAGTGCATTTTTCTGTCAGGCTTTTGCAATTCTTTCTATTCTGGAGGGACAGCCTTGCATTCCTATAGATTTTTTGTAGAGTTATTAAATTATGGATTTGCGCCCCCCCCCCCAAAAGACAAAGTATAATAATGCAGTTTATACTAAGACTGTTTTCTCATCACTTGCAGAGGGAGTGTGTGTATCCTAGTGTCATTACAAATGTATGTGTGAGCATGCAGGTCTGGATGAGCACCTGTGTGTGTGTGTGTCACCTTTTTTAATAATGTGCTGTCAACCTGAGCTCTGGGGATGGCCATTTCACTAACCCTCCCTAACTCTCATAACGCGGCTCCTCCGGGAGGGAGAATAAGTCATCAGCCGGTGGCCAAGAGTCCTCGAGCACCAGTAGCAAAAAATCACAGTGGATGCAATAAGGAGGCAGGGCATGATGAAACTGAAGGGGGGGGGGGGTGAAGTAATGCATGGGCACTCAGAACTCATGGCCCTGCTGTGCATCACTCACCGGTTGTATGGCAAGAATGCTGGCCACTATAAAGCCTGTAATAATGTGGTGAGACACAACAAGACGACTCAGATGACCGAGTTGAATGTTTTTATGTTGAATGTGAACGATGTATATACCCACACACTTACTACATTACTACTTCGACTACTTCAACTACTTCAACGAGTGTTGCAAAGTCTATATGTGAGGCTACAGAGTTGGATCAATGCTTACACAGAACTACAAAAATACCAGATGTAGACACTACTGGGTGACACTGTGTCCTTGTTTGCTTCATTCCGCAGGACAGCTGTTGCTTTTTCTGCTTTTGAGAAAAGACAAAAAACCTTTACGAATGTTTAAAAAAAAACTCAGACCATAATACAGTATATTTATCATTTCCAATGGCTTAAAAAAAGGCAAGTTGATTAGTATATACCATAATCCAAAAAATCTGGCATCATGCAAAACACATTTTCCTTTTCTTATTTAAAATCTCTTTCAGGCTACATCCACGGTAATCTTTTTAAAATGTTTTAAAATGCATAACTTAGGTCTTCTTTACTCCTGACATTCACACTAAACCAGAGTTTTGGAAAAGCTTTTGTTGCCATTGTAGTTACAACACGGTGAAAATGACCACGTTCCAAGTCGAATATACATGTCGGGGCATCTGATCATTGAGCAGCTGTGGATCATAGAGGAAACTCTGTGTTTTCACGGTTTGTTTCTTCTGTTCTTCAACAAAGTCACTGACCGGCTGTTTCACGTGAACGCCTCTAATCTCACTGTGTAGCGGAGTGAGTGGGGTCGGAGCCCCGGGGCCTGTGTGTCTATGTGTGTGTGTCTGTAAACTTCAACTTGCTCCGGGCACACACACACACACACACACACACACACACACACACACACACACACACACACACACCCCTACTTCAAAGTTTTTTTTTCATGACAGAAATGATTTTGTGCTCATCCTTAAGACTTGTGCTCCTTGGTCAACTAATTTGTTTCATTTTATTTTTCCAGTTGGGTCTGAGTGCAGCCAGTGTGATCTGTCTGGTATATTTTTTGCTTTCTTGAGCCTCTTTATCTTCTTCACTTGCATGGTCACCTCGTCACTCTGAAAGAAAACTCCACCTCAACCTCAACCCTGAGTCACATACAAGCTCTTTTTCACATAAACCAATCTCGAAGTGACACGTGCCTTTGAAACATTTAGCAGCCAATTACTTTTAAAGCTTAGCAATTAGGGCATCATGTGTTGATAGAGCTATTGACCCTGTTGTCATGGCAGTCCAGTGACCGTTGCAAGCAGAACTCTGGCAGTGAGGACATTTCCTCACCTTGAAAGGATTTGAGTTCGTTATTACGTCTGCGTGGTACCTTGTCGCCATGCTCAGAGAACAAGGTGCACAAGAGGGAGGAAAGGCGCAGACAGGAGGGATGTTCAAATACAAGAAGAGACGTGTCACTGTGTCTCAGTGTCTTCAAAGTGATGAGAAAAATGATCTCACTGGCTGAGAGTGAAGTTATTAAACACTACTGGAACTGATTTATATTCCACCTCACCCGGTTCTTTTGGTCATGTAACTACATTACAGGCTCACTTAAAATAGGGCCCGCAATCTCACATCTTTCAATCAACAGTCCTTTCAATATTTACACGGACCTACTCAAACTTGGCACTTTCATGTAGTATTCATTACTACTCCTTCAGCATTCCTACTACTACTGTAGCTGGTATGATTAAAAACTGCTACACTGTCCATGATAGTTATTTTAATACAAGTTTTTACATTCTGAGTTTGTATAAATCAGGATTGAAATTGACATTACGGTCTAAAAGTCCCTTTCCCAGCTGAATGCGACTTAGAAAATCTTAAAATTGACATGGTGAAATGAAACCTTGATGCTGCACATACGCCCGGTCTTTTCAGTCAGTGCACTGACTTGACGTAGTGGATGTTTTGAGAAGGAGGTGACGATAATAACGAAGAGTGAAGTCAGACACATGCACGCGCTGCTGCTGCTGCAGCTTCTGTTGACACAGGAGTCACAGAGGAAGACTCACAGATATAACAACGTACTGCACCAGCTATATGATGCTAATAAATTAGAGTAGTGGTTTTAAAACTTGATCTGCCTAAGGCACACTGAAGGGCAAGAAAGAATTGCAAGGCACACCTGTATTCCTATTCATGCAAAACCCTTGTTATCATCCATTTTTACCAGTTTCTCTCTTTTCTTAAGTTGTTCTCCTTCACACTGGCTGTCGATCAAGGTCTTCGATGTGTCTAACACTTATAATTCCCACAATCTGACAACTGCACTAACAGCGGGGTTTGTGTGTAGGGTTCTAATGATTTATTAGGGTAAAGAATTTACCTCTGTATTAAGAAATGAGTGCATAAAAATAACTGATATAATAAATTAAAAAAGTTACATTTACCAAATAGTTCACCTCCTCCTCTCCATCATCTCTGCTTCATATGTGTCAGTGTGTGAGCAAGTGGGGGCGGGACCAGCCCGAGGCCTGTGTGTGTGAGTGTAAACTCTGCGGAGGAGATGAGATGACTTGAACAAATACAGAGACATACCAGCTAAACGTTTGGTGCACTGGTGCAACAACGGAACATTTTTCGTCACACTTCACAGATTTAAATGGTCACACTCTGGAGCCCTGTAGTAGTATAGTAGTATTGCAATAATAATATTGTACGTTTCTCTCAAAATGGTGCTGCAGCCCAGAGCAATAGAGCAATTTGATCACATCAAGGTGCAAGAAAGTGTTAAAGGTACAGCATGTAGGCCAGTAGGAGTCTCTCCATTAAAACAATAACAAAAAACCTAGTTTGATGAAGTCGTGAAGCAGTGTGGGATCATGTCTTCGCTACAATTTCTCTTCCCATAATCTTCTTGGTCCTCTTGTGCTTTACAGGGAGAGTTTTGGTGACCCGATGTGCCTCAAATGGCAATAAATAAAGTGACCAATGCAAAGGAAAGGTGAAGGAAAAAACTGCCGAGTGGTTAAATGGCTAACTGTGTGTTTTGCCTTCATCATACCTTGTTTGGCCCGGAGTTTTTACAGCAACGGTACAGTGAAGCATCCCGGATTTCTCAGAGTTTGAAAATTGTTGGAATCATTTTGGATATAAGTTCAAGGATCAACAGAGTATATCATAGGTCCAGTTGTTGTTATTTTATCTTTTAATAAAAACTTTCTTAATGCTTTTAGAAAATTCTGTGCAGTTTTGTCGTATATATTGACTCTGCCTTTAAGTGTATGCTTTCACTACAGGTGCTTATGAGCTTCCACCATTATTCCCTTTGCATATGCAGTTTTTCCATATTTCTCATGAATTGACCTGTAATAACATAAACCTGTCGGCTATATTACTTTCCTTCTTGTGTAGGATTTGGATACATAGGTTTCCACAGAACACAACTCAAATATAGAAAAGTTAGATTCTCATCTTTGTATTTTATCTCTTTGAAACACTGTTAATTACTTCACGTTACCTTGAAATCTCACAACGCCATATCTCATGATTAATGTTATTGTCAGAACTCTCAAACTTGACACACAAACTGCTGCTGATTAAGATTTTGTCAAAGTCAAACATTCATAGAAAATCTTTATTTTTAATTTTGTCAGGATGTTGCATTTGTTTCTGTAAGACCCAAAGTATTCCAGTTAACCCATTCTTATAATAAGTCTGTTTTTGTGTGTGCATGTGTGTGTATAATTTTTGTTGCCTATTTAGGACCTTTTTCAGCATAAACACTGACCTTGTCAGGACTAGTAGACCTCATGGGGACCAAAGTTTGGTCCTAATGAGCAAAACGCATTTGCTGAGGTCCTCGTTATATATTATTATATATTATATTAGGGGTAACTTGAATGAATGCTGGTTCTGTTAAGGTTAGGGTGAGGCATGAATTGGTCCTTGTTAAGGTTTGTGTGTGGTAAATTCCCATAACGTTAATCATGAATTTATAATTTAGGGTAAGGTAATGTCAGGTTTAGGTTAAGGTTAGGCAAGTGAAGGTTATGTTTTAAGTTAAAGTAAGACTTTAATGTCCTCTGAAGTCATCTAGACACAATTGTGTGTGCTTGTGTGTGTGTGTGCACTCACAGATATTAGCTGTGCCCTTAGGGATCGGCAGGTAGGAGCCAGCACTCCACGCTCGCCCCTGGTAATTCCTCTTGCAGCGACCACAGTCAGGCCCAGTGGTGTTGTGTTCACACTCGCAGCTCAACTTGTCTTTGTCATATACGCAGCTGATGGCATGAAGGTTGCACTTGCACCTGTCAAAGAGGGAGAGGGGCAGTCAGGAGGGGGGACAAGAAAGGGAGGAGTTAAAAGAGCACAAGCACACGAACATGAGTGAATTTTTCCAGCACAGAATGTAAAACAGACAGCTTTTTATTTTGTTGGACAATGCGGCTGAAGGGCAGCGCGTCCTTGAGCAGTGGAACACAGTCTGAACGGCTGGCTGCTTCTTTCACTTCAAGAGGAGCCAGTTCAAAAGGAGGCAGGCGATCGCAAGAGCAAGTCTGGCATCATTATTTTCTCCCTTTTTTTCTGCCTCCCCTCTCCACTCTGGAAGGTAGCTCAGTTTTAATTGTCCCACTGGAGAATGCATAATTGTGGTAAGGTCACAGTCAATGGCTGAAGGAAGATCGCAAGAGGGGGAGAGGGACAAAGAGGTGTAAGGGGAGGCTGAGAAAAATACAAGCCCGTCTTAAATTGTGGAAGTACTGGTAGAATGGAGGCATTGAGGCTTGTACCTCTGCAAGGCGAAGAACAGCTCTGTTTGCCAGAGGGCGGCAGGGAGCAACAGCACGTTCTCCAAGACAAATTAATATGAGATGAGAGCTCAGAAGCATATATTCAGTCTGGAAAAGAGGGGCTCCCTGAAGGTGCACTAAATCCTCACTCACATCCAGCTCACCAGATCCTTCATATAACAATAAACTCAGCAAGTTCATTTTTTGCTGTTGCCAGATGAGTATTAGGGGGGGAATCTATCTGTTAAATGAATTTATGATCCTCATGCTGCATAATGTACTCTGAGGAATACAGAGAACTTTGAGTTACTAGACCTCAGAATACCTGACTGAGTGTAGTATATTTTTGTGAGGTAGACCCTTGGTAAAATGCATTTTTAGAAAGCTTAGTGGGTTTATAAACTGTTTAATATTAGATAAGGATTATAAGCAGAATGTCTTCTTATTTTTTTTGTCTATTGCTTTGCCTATTTCCTGATGTGCTGGTGTCAAACTACGATAATCTGGCTGAATTCAGTAATTGTTTGACATCTCATACCTATTTTACACCAATATTAGCAGCTATCCATGTTTTTTTAAACACCAGTAAACCCATTAAAGAAGGCACTTGATCCCGCTCCCATAGCCAGTAGAAGAGTTTCCCCTTTTTTTCCCCTAGTATGTACGACATTACGGTTTTTTTCCCAGGATGTAAAAAACAATAAGTACATAAATGTTCAGGGCTATTTACAACGAAACACACGGACGTTCAATGAATGTCATAAAGTCACGCTGGTGTCTAGACTGCCAAAATAAAGTAGAAAAAATGTCTACTGAGGAGTCATTTGACCTGAGACTGAATGCTGATTGTATCCATTCCCATTGCAGACAATATCCAGATGTAAGTGGGTTTTATGACCAGTGGAAATGTGGTGCCCACAGCATCAGCACCAGGTTGATTGATTCCCAAAGATAACCTTATTGTTGAGTCCCCCCTGAGTCATGATCCAACGCTGCTGCCAACTTCAACTTCAAAAAAGGCTGGAAATCTGCGTTCCAACAGGCATGACTCATCTCAGATAAATGACGCAGTGGCTGTTTGTTTATTTCAAGAAAAATGCCAAGAGGCAGACCAAATCTGAAAGTGCCCTTTTATTCAGCTCTTTTTTTAATCTTCTGAACTGGGAGCCAGGTGAAAGTCGTTCTTGAGGTGGATGGAGGGGGACAGAGGGGGACAGAGGGAGGGTGTTAGGGAGGGAGATGACAGAGATAGCCTGACACTGGTGTTTGCTACCATCTCAGTGAAAAACTCCGGTGACAGCTGGCCTCTTTCACTTTATTTACCCTGCTTCACCTCAGCTTAGCTTGATCCTCAATTTAATAAAATCATTAGCTTCTCGACCTTGATACTCAAAGTACTTAGCTGCTGTTTGCCCCAAATTCTAAAGCTGAGTGCTGACTGGGTTAGTTAGAGTCTGTTAGCTGGTTTGATTTTAGTTCCCGTTGCAGGTGAATAAAATACCTGGACTCTGAAAGCTCGGAGGTCATCAAATCTTTGACTCAAACCTTTGTCTCTCCTTGTTCTGCAAACTAAGTACAAAGTATTTAACATTCTTATGAGGCTTCATAATTTCTCCATACATATGCACTTGAACAAACATTTGTATGAACTACCTAAAATTGTAGAAATCTTTGAAATAAATAATTTCTTAATTTGGCCCATGTCCCATTAACTAACATGGAGGAGGAAGGATTTATGACCTATACCGCAGCCAACTAACAGGCAGCAATCTAGAGCTGTTATGTTGTTTATATTTATATACAGTCTATAGTGTGTACCTCACAAGTCACAACTAATCATTGAGTTGTTTTATGTCCAAGGAATTCTTCTTTGTTTTTTGCTGCACATTTCAGTTTCAGGTTGTAGCAACAGTAATTTGATAGTCAACAATAAATTCAAGTTAATTGAAATTCTAAATCAAGTTTTAGATACAAACTGATTTGGATTACATACCCTGGTGACAACCCTGTATTGCTGAGCAATGGGATTTCCTAAGCCACAATGATGAAGCTGTCGTAGCGGTACACAGTGCTGCTAATATTACTGCCAAGATATAATAATGTTCTCACACAAAAATCGAAACATGTAACAGTAATAATGATGATAACACTATAATAATAACACATTTTTCTGGATGCTCCCAGTGACTCAAGTGTGACTTTCTAAAGAAACTACATCAGCAATTATACTACCCTCCAGTCAACACTGAGACCTAGAGGGGCTGATCGAGTTAAAAGTGGTTTCAGTTGAACCCATGAGCGGCTCAAATCAAGACAAGATTAGAATCAAGTCCCACACGGCCCTGTTCCACAGACTTTCTATCTGGGTTATAAAGTCTGGCTTGTTAGTGTGTGTATGTGTGAAGGAGAAGCGGGTAGGGGATGTGGCTGTGAAATGACTTCACACGGAGCCCTTTGCGGTTTAACCTTCAGCTTCTTTTAACATCGCCAACATTTTAATCACCTTCCAGAAACGATAGCAGCGTCGACATAATGAGGGAGACCTCCAGTGAGCCCGCAGGGTCTCATGCCCACCAGCGCTGTTGTGCTGCCAATCAGCCGTGGAAATCAGGGGAGGCTCCCCGAGACCGAGCCAAGTAAACGTGTATTTAACAGCATCTTCATAGGAATTTTCCTCCAAGGTTTCCCATTCCGACTATGTTGCGCCTCTCTTTCCTGTGGGGCCTGCTTGGTGGGTTGTCTCCCTCTGACTTTCCATCAGTCTTTGTATCATTCTCCTCATATCTCTTTCCTCCATCCACCTTTTAGTCAGTCATTTTAAACTCTGCTCCAGTATCTCCGACTCATAAATATTCATGGGGGCTAAAGCATCTTTGTTTTTGTGTGGTGCTCTCAAAGTGATATTGCTCAAGGCATTATTGAGTGTGCCAGTCACTGCCTGTGAGCTAAACGTCCTGATATGTATTCATAAAATTACCCATGAGGCTATTAGCTTAAATTGCCAGAGTAGCAGAAAGCAAAAAAAGAAAAAGAAACCTTGACTGAAGTTCTGATTCTATTTTATCTGAGCAAAAGGAGCAAACATATTCTTCTACCTGACAAGAGTTTGAAGTTTTCCTTAAAGTGTGGGAGCCAGGCGATATTGTCATCGTAAATTTATTATTATTCTTTATCCTGGTGGAAATGCAAGCAGAGCGGTCCGCAGGGACTCGGCTTACCTGGAGCTCTGCGTCTATGACCTCTGCAGTAATGGGATTCTGATTGACGGGACATATTGTGCCTCACCACTGATGATGCCAGCAGAAGCAGATAAAAACAAGACAACCTAAAGCCTCGTGAAAACGCCCCTTTTCTTTAACATCAGGTCAACCATTATCGACGTGATTCCACTCAGCTTCCCGGCATTGCTCCATAGCTCATTGTGACGTCAAAGCTAAACATATCAGCTGCTAATTAATAGCAATTATCTGCTATCCAAGCCTGAAACATCCCTGACGCACAAAGCTGCTGATCTCGACAAATTGAGCGGACTAAACTCAACATGGTCCTTAAGTGGGTTAACTAAGTGAAGCAATTAAATTTCAATCTTACGCCCAGGTGTTTTCATACACAAGCCAATTGGGTCAAACACTTGGTTAATAACTGTTTTTTTTTAGCTTGTGTCTGCTGTAAATGAGCGACAACACACCAGGGGTTGAAAGGGGCGGGCGGAAGGTGGCTCAGAGAACATAAGGCTTAATTATATGTGAAGAAACAGAAACATAGGAGTGGGCTAGAAAAAGACCTTGAGGTGCGAGTGAGCATGTATGTGTGTGTGTGTGTGTGTGTATGTGTGAGAGCATGTATTTTTATTTGTGTGTGCGTACGCAGGTGATTTGCTGAATGGATAATAATTACACAACACCCGTAATTTTAAGTACAATATATTTGTCCCATCTGATCTCCCCAAACACACACTCATGCGTTCACGTTTACACACACAAACACACACAGTGTAACGATATGCACACCACTGGGTTCTTCCCCACTGACTTTCTTGCAGCTGCCATTTATATATTGGTTTAAAACAGATCGGCCTGTATGCTAACGTGTTGCCTGCTAATTACCTCCTCCTCTACCTCTTTCCTCCTGGGCCGCAGTGCATTGTGGGGGAAGGAGTGAGATCTCAGCACAAGCCCTCCTGGGATGTACACTCCATTCCACACCCCTCCCCCCCCCCCACAAAAAAAGTAATTATATCCTTCTTCCTCCATCCCTCCTTCTCCTGCTCTCACTACACAGCAGACACTTAGAGAAAAGTGGAGGCAGACTCTTGGTGGTAGTTTTCTCTTAACTGTCAGCTTTTGGTTCAGTTAGTTATCGTGAGGGAATAGTTTCAGTGAGACGCTGCATGGAGAGATATTACAGACTTTACATATATAGTTTAATGTTAGAGGTCAGATATAGTACAGACCCCGCCTCCTTCAATTAGAGCAAAGAACACCTGAAGCACTCGTTGGTGAAGAAAGACCTAAAAG